TGGGCTGGACTTAATGACCTCTCAAGGTCCCTTCCAGCCCTACATTTCTATGATCATATATTGTTACCAGCAATATGAATTTAAGAATTGCATTACAAAAACTAAATCTGCATTACTTCACTGAAACGACAACACTCATTGGAAAAAGCAATTATACTGTACAATTCAAATAGCTCTAATGCCATGTAAAGACTTTCAATAAGTTTAAAATTAGGGGTCAGGTTATATCCTTATAGAATCTTAGCTCCCTCAACTGCTCTTGCCTTAAAAAAAAATGGCAGAATTTATTGGGCACTATTAACAGGCCATATATAACTCCCCTAAAATAAGATCCCCAAACATGGACTTGTAGACAGTTATGAAAACAAACAATAACATTATTGAATTAGCTCTTGCTTCCCTTACTTTCATAATTTATAAACTATGTAATTAAATTAATAGTTAAAGCAGGCATTTTTTAATTGTGTGTGTGTGAATTCAGTACTTGCACAAGGTACCAGACAAACACAGCCCTGGAAAATGGAGCTAAGCTACACAGCAAATCCAGCTTGGGTGGGGGACATAGTCTTCCCCAGCACTGGCAATGTGTCTCACTCCTGAGTTGGACAGAGTCCCATACAGGAGTGAGTCAGGAGTTCAGCTTCAATGCTCACTCGGGTCTTGGGAATCTCTGCCAAGACTGCCAGCCAGGTGCTGATTAATGTCAGCTGTAATACTGGTTGCTGTGATGTTGACCACATAGGCAAGTAATACAGCCATCACAAAGCTCCATATTCCATTACCAGTCTTCTGACCCAAACAGTCCCTACCTGTTTCTCTTGAATGAAAAGCAGCAAACCCCAATGCCTCTGAAAGGAAAGTTCTACTCCAATTCTTACATCCCACTCCTTAAAACACTTACACGTGAGTACCTTATGTATGTACACAGTCCTGTTGAATTTAATGGGACAACTCTCATGCATAAGTCTTTGCAGAACAGGGCCTTAGATTGTGAACTTCTTTCTTGTACTGAAAGCTCCTTGAGGCAAGGATTGTGTCTTCCTGTGTCTTTGAGGATAGATGCTCTTGCAACATGGATAATAAGAATGACATCATAACGTGCTGTGCTAAGATCTTTAAAACTCCATATTCACACCTTTTAAGGTGTTTTTGGAAAATGGGTCTGTGATGTTATCTGATTAAAATATGACCATATAGAACATTGTTGCAACCACTGTTATATATTTGCAACAAATCTTGTGCAAAATGTGGCATGTAAGATGTCTATAAAAAGGTTATGATTTGCTGGTTATTATCATGCTATCTGTATGCATGTATCGTTTTTGTATTTGCAGTTATGAGTATTGGCTCTATACCTGGATTTCAAATGTTTGCTCCTGGGGTAACACCCACAAGGTAGTTAGCCAGCACATCTTGGAGAGACTATGTAAATTAGGTGGCCCATCAAAAGGACACAACTCACAATGGACCAGGGAGGCACCGATCTACACTGAATGGACTTTTCTGTGAACTTTCCATTTGAAGTATAGGTAATGGTTTCCTGCAAAAACTAAGCAAAATTATGCATGGACATGTGACTTGCCCATATGACTCCAAACCCCCTCTTTTACCTGTAATTTTCCACTAACTGCTGAGGGCTTTGTTTGAAACAATGGGTATCCCTCCACATGGCAGAAGCTATAAAAGGCCCAGCAAACACCTCCATTTTGTCCCTTTCCTGCTCAAATCTCTGAACTATGGACTTGTACAAATGGGAGCATTCTAAGGGACTGAGGTCTTTCCAATGATTTGGAAGCAACCAGAGACTTATTAAGTCAGCAGTTTATTCCATCATTGCTACAAGCCTGATGCAAGAACTTTGCATTTATTTTATGTATTTTATTCCTTTAACCAATTTAACTCTCACCTTTCTTTCTTTTTATAAATAAACCTTTAGATCTTAGATATTAAAGGATTGGCATCAGCGTAATTTTGGGGTAAGATCTGAGTTATATATTGACCTGGGTGTGTGGCTGGTCCTTTGGGATCAGAAGAACCTTTTATTTGATGAGATTGATTTTTAAGAACCACTCATCTTTAAATCCAGTTTTTTTGGTGGTAATTCAAGGACTGGAATGCCTAGGGAAACTGCTTTTCTGATTTCTTGTTAGCCAGTGTGCTGAAACAGAAGTTTACTTTTGTTGCTGGTTGGTATACATTATGGGGGAATAACCACCAGTTTTGGGGTGTATTTCTCAGCAGTTTGTCCTGAATTTGGTATTCTCAATTGTGACCCACGAAGGCACGGTTACTATGCTGAGATCTTTAAAACTCCATATTCATACCTTTTAAGGTGTTTTTAGAAAATGGGTCCCACTCATTCGCTATATAAAATTCTATCACGACCCAAAATATTATATTCTTTTTCTATCCTTGTCTTGGTCCCTTTTCCAACATTGACTTTTCTCCCTCTCTGCATTCAAACTCCTCCTTACTTATTTCTTGAGCAAATTTTTCAGTAAGAATCCATGGGACATCAATTTATAATTTTTGCATTGCTACAATTTGAAGTCTTCTGTTTACATAATATAATCTTATGTGTGTGACCCAGGAAAAAAAGATGTACACATGTTTAACTTTACTCGTGTGAGTAGTATTGTGCAGTGAATAGCTTATTCACATAAATAATGTCACTTTTAACATGCTAAAGATAGTTCCATTAATTTTACAAGGCTATTAGTTATTTATTCAATTTTTTACTCTACAAGCCATATTTTTACGAGTGCTAATATTTGATTGGATTGATTAGTAAGGCAACAAAACATTATTGTGAAGCCTATATTTTATTACAAAAATCCATTTAATGACAGTCTGGTTCCATCACAGTAAATACCAAGGCGACGCTGATCTCAGTTTGTTGTGTAACAATCTAATGCAGGAACACCTATACAGCTCTACTTGTTCTTAAAGACTGACAAGCTTTCATAATACTACGTCTTCTCTCAGAGGACTAAAGAGAAAAACAGGTCAAACTGTGTTGTAAATGATTGCATGCCCAGATAGGATACATCAGCCACTGTATTTTTCATTAAAAAGCAACAGAGAGTCCTGTGGCACCTTTAAGATTAACAGATGTATTGGAGCATAAGCTTTCGTGGGTGAATGCCCACTTTGTCGGATGCATGTAATGGAAATTTCCAGGGGCAGGTATAAATATGCTGGCAAGAATCAGTCTGGAGATAACGAGGTTAGGTCAATCAGGGAGGGTGAGGTCAAATTACAATACATTTTGTGCCTGTTAATTTATTAGGAAGCTAGATAATTTGGTGGAGAAGACACTGGATTTTTCATTCTAGGAATCCATTTATATTTCAACTCAAGAGTATTGAGATTTGGGATTCAGTTTATTAGTCTCTCTCTCAACCATTCTATACTTTAGGGAAGTAGGGCTCCAGAGAGGTCCAGAGCTAAATTAGAACAGAAAATGAATCATTCCTCACTCCAGTACAGTGATCCCTTTAGGTTAGGGTGGAGAAACTAGTTCTGCAACTACCTACACAAATAATATCAATACAGTCCAGAATCATAACCAAGCTAATCCTTGTGCAAAATCCTAATGTTAAGAAAAATTAAGAGGTTTTCTACAATGTAAGGATTGTTAATAATTAGACAGCATCAGTTGCAGCTGATCACTGAACTCAAGTTATTGAAAAAATCTTAGCCCTCAGAGATTACAATCTAGTATGCAAAAGTATGGTCATCCAAGTATTATTTTACTTTAGATTTCAAAATATGTCAATTATGTTTGCACAACTCAATGTTATTATTCATCTATGTATCACTGCTTGCCACCATGGTATCAGATAGTGAGTTCACCACAAGTAGTACTATATAGTGCAGTTCCAGTTTTGATGGATCATGGATAAATTACTTTTAAAAGTGTCCATGTGCATACATTAAGAAAATACTTACAGCTAAGGCCTTAATCCTGCAACCCTGATTTCAACAGAATTTAAAATGAGTCAAGTTAAACACATAGTTAAATCTCTGCAGGATTGGGTCCTCGTGGATAGTCACGTGTCCCTGCTTAGTTAATTGAAAACTGTAGTCTGCTTGATGACCCAGTTGTTCACCTGCTTTTGTTAGATTATAACCTCTCCAGAGCCAAAATTACTTATTTATTTGGTCTACATTACTTATAATCAGTGTGTACAGTTATGGTGCTAGAGTGAATAAAGTAGATAATGGAACCTTGTTATCTGTATAGACTTTTTTAGCACACACCCAAGATGAAATCATTTGGTTTTGGAGGTCTTTTTACAGACAGCAGAAAAATCACCCTGTGTCCTCACTTCTTGAAGAAGCTCTGACAGTTTAAGAAGCTGCCTCCTTTTCCTTCCCATTGCTCCTTTTATTACAGGATACACAGTAATATGTTCAGATTAAACCTCTGTCTCCAAGGGGTGAGGGCGGCATTTGCGTCCTCCTCAGCTGGGGAATCATGAAAGAAAGAAGCATTTTGAGATCCAAGCTTCCTGGAAGTTCGGCGTGGGTGTGTTGGCCGCTCAACATTTAGGATTTATCCCATTATAGGGACAGGTGCAAGTTGGGGCATTCAGATCCAAACCTGAACCTCCTTCTGCCAAGCTTTGTTTTGTGGAAGGGGGCGGGGAGGCCAGCTGGTCCCAGCATTCCAGGCCCCTCCCCAGTAGTTTTGCAACACGATGTAACACCCAGTTATTTCAGAACCAGAAAAGGAGAAAGTGTGAGGAGCATCTCGCCCTGGATGCATCCTCGAGGTATGGTGGGGATGTGTGTCCCGCCCCCCATGCTTGGGATGTCCCCTTGGCATGCGAGACTCCTCCTCCTCTCCGATCTGCAGATACCCGCTTTCACCCGCAGAAGGTGCGCGAAGTGGAGGCAGGTCTTCGCCCCACCTCCCCGCCCTATGGGTCCCCAAGCTATCTCCGGACTCCAAACCCCAGGCGGGGAGCGATGCTGTGTCCTCCCCTGCCCCTTACCTCTAGGATAGGGCAGTCACTTCCCCCAGGGCTGGGCTCGGCTCCGGGGGCCGCTGCAACTCCTCCATCCCCTTCCTCCTGGGCCTGCTGCTGCAGGCTGCTCCCCCGGACGGAGCGGGGGTGATCGGGGCCCTCCTGGGCACCGCTTTCGCTGGGGCCATCTCCGCCGGCGCCACTGACAGGCGAGGAGGGGAGCGCCCCATTCTCCTCGCCGGCCACGGCGTGCACCAGCCAGGCGTCCAGGCTGGTGCTGGGGATGTAAGGGCCCCCCAGCGCCCGCACCTCCCGGAGCAGCAGCAGCCGGTCCCAGTCCCGCTCTGGGCACTTAGGGTGCGGAGGGCTGCTCCCCGCGTGGGAAGTGTCCGGGGCCCGGCGCCGGAGGAGATCCAGGTCCAGCCGCAGCCCCGCCAGGCTGAGCAGGAGGGTGACCTGCAGCAGCAGCCCCTCCTCGGAGCAGCAGCGCCTAGTCAGGGGCTTCATCTCCGCTCGGGCAGCTCCCCAGCGGCTCGCCAGCAGCCGGGCTCTGGCTCCCGCTGCCCGCGATGCGCCCCCAGGGGAGGCCGGGGCAGCACGTGTGTGTGTCTGTGCCGGGAAGGGAAAGAGAAACCAGACAAAGGAGCCAAGCGCGCTGTTGCCGCTCCGGCTCCCGCAGTGAGCCACGAAGCGACCGGCCCTTCCCTAGGGCGGCGAGTGCGACGGGGCGGGCCGGGGGCACCCGCTGCTGGGATGTTGCCGCCACCGCCACAGGCAGCTGGGCTGGGCCACCTGCCCCTGGATCGCACCCTCCAGCCCTGGCCGCGGAGAGAGGCAGCCGGAGTGTGGGGTGGAGCCTCCCGGCTTCAGGCCGGGCCACAGCCCTTGGCGCCTGGGAGCATGTGCTCAGAAGGGGGGACGGGACTTGCCCCTCCCACCGCACAGCCAGCCCCGCAGCAGCGGCACGTGCATTAGACACTCAGTCATTCTGCCCCCCGCAGCGCGCTCCCAAGAGCCGGGCGGCCCTCGGCCGCTCCGAGTCATTTTTCAGGCCGGGCTCCACAACTTCGCGGGGGAGGATATTCCGCAGTCGGACGCTTTGTTGTTCTCCTGTCACTTTAACTCTGCCTTGCTGGCTCGGCTCCAGGAGCAAGTTAGCAACTGGGGCTGGGTGAGGCGCTGGAGGAGCTGCGCAGCGGGGAATAAACGTGCCTCCTGTCTGTGTATCCTAACGAAAGGAGGAGCCGGAACGCGTCGGCGATCGGGGAAAGACGCAAAGCTTTCTGGGGATTGAAGTCCCCCCTCCCATTTTTACTCTGCGTCGCGCCGTCCACAGCAACCCAGGGGGGGTTGTTAGTGTACTGTACCGATCTTCGCTGGCTACTGTCACCACCCCCGTCCTTGTACTTGCTGTATTCTCGGACGGAGACAGAGGAGCCAGCTTAAGGAGGCGTGTCTAATAAGTCACTTTTCCAATTCCCATCAGTAGTGCTAATTGGTTCAGCCATATTGCAGACTCTGTATATTACATGTTGAATTCATACCCACACCCATAGCGCTGTATACAGGGCCGGCTCCAGGGTTTTGGCTGCCCCAAGCAGCCAAAAAAAACCCCTGCGATCGCGATTGCGATCTGTGGTGGCAATTTGGCGGGAGGTCCTTGGCTCTGAGCTGGAGTGAGGGACCGTCTGCCGAATTGCCGCCGAATAGCTGGACGTGCGGCCCCTCTTCAGAGTGGCTGCCCCAAGCACCTCTTGACAAGCTGGTGCCTGGAACCGGCCCTGGCTTTATACATACTGATTTAACCAAGAATAGAAAATACCATGTGAATTTAATGAAACAGAATGACCACTCTTGTTGCATAACACTTTCATTTTCTGACAGATGTTAGGATTGCACGCTTAAGAGTGCACTAAAGGCTTTTATGCATTGCATTTCCGTTTTTAAAAGCAAGGGACAAAATAATGAGACTGTGCTTAATAATGTTAGCATGTTAGGCCTAGAATCTGCTCTATGTGGTAGTCCCCTGTGCCCGTGCCAGGCCCCACTTAATTCACTTGGACTTTTGTGCAGTTGTAAGGCTCTGCCTGTGTACAGCGGCTTGGTGGATCAAGTCCTTGGATTTTACTAAAGATTTTTATTACTAAAGAAACACCTACTTATGCTTGTTAGTCTCTAAGGTGCCACAAGTACTCCTGTTCTTCTTTTTGCGGATACAGACTAACACGGCTGTTACTCTGAAACCTACTTATGCTACATTTTCATGCTAATACTTTGTTCTTAATGCTAGACCTGAAAGCTGGACTCCATGTATATCCCCAAGGGGAAATTCTGAAGAATCCTATAGTGTGTCACTCTTCTTTGGCTCTCCAGCTAAGCACTTCTCCCATCCCAGCACACAGTTACTTTCCTTCACCCAGGGTTAACAGTTTTCAGTCATTCAAACCACAGCAGATAAATTATAATCCCATTCTAACCAGGAAAAACACAAAGACATTCTCAGCTTGACTCTGAGCTGCATTGTTCTACTGATTATAGGGCAATTATTAATGACCCCAATAAAATAATAAGACTTAATGGTATATAGACACAGATTTTAAATAAAATTAATTTGGTACCTAAATATCCTCAATTATTTAATTTTTTCCCCCTAGTGTGACTATAATTTCAATAACTATCTACTTTGCACTATTTTAACTCACTTTGGGATTTATATATCTTAGAGTAATTTGCTATTTTTGCTTTTTCCTTCTAATTATTTTGTTTCTACTCTCTGTGTCTTCTGAACAGGTCCTTCTTCTTCGAGTGCTTGCTCATATCGATTCCAATTAGGTGTGCGCGCGCCGCGTGCACGATCGTCGGAGAATTTTCTACCCTAGCAACACCGGCGGGTCGGCTGTGGAGCCCCCTAGAGTGGCGCCTTCATGGTGCTGGATATATACCCCAGCCGACCCGGCGCCCCCTCAGTTCCTTCTTACCGCCCCTGACGGTCGTTGGAACTGTGGAGCGCGGCGTAGCTGTTCTCCACTCTCCCTAGCTTATTCCGTTTATTGATAGTTATAGTTATAGTTCTAGTTGTATATAGTTAAATAGTTGTTTAATTCACTTTATTAATAGTTGTTGTATAGTTAAAGGGGATTAAGGGGGTTGTCTCCCCCTTTTTCCCCCGGCGCGTGGCCGGGCTCATGCCCAAGGCTCCCGGCTTCAAACAGTGCGCATCCTGCGCTAAGCCTATGCCAACAAGTGACCCGGACGACTCGTGTCTGAAGTGCCTGGGGGAGTCCCATCAGACAGACAAGTGTAAGATCTGTAAGGCCTTCAGACCGAGAACCAAGAAGGAGCGGGACTTTCGGCTTCGGCAACTCCTTATGGAGGCGGCACTTAGCCCGGACGCTCCATCGGCGCGTCAAGCCCCAGCACCAAGCGCCTCGGTGCGCAGTGCCCCAGCGGCACCGACCATTCCGACTACGCGAGTGGCGTCGGACAAGCCTCCACGGCACCGGACCCCGTCGGCACCGCACCCACAGCAAGTGCCTCGGCGCCGTTCATCATCGCCAGGACATAAAAAATCCCATAAGACGCAGGGGACTGCCGTACCGAAGGCGCCGGGGGTAGAGACGCGTCCGCCTGTGGAGCACCAAAAACAGGTGCCTCCGGCACCGTCGACTCCGGCTCCGAGGCCGTTGAGTCCGGTGCAGACAGGGTCACCACCGCGACCGGCGGTGATACAGTGCCTCCCGTCGACCCCAGAGACCTTCGCGATGGCGAGAGACTTGATCGCTCTCACTGAGCCGGCACCGCCCCAACCACCGGCACCGTCGGCGCCGTTGACTCGTCCAGTCCAGGGGGAAACCTGCCTTGATGCGCCCTCCATCGCAGGGACTGGAACCACGGCACCGTTCCAGGTCCCGAAGCAGGTCCCCACGCCGCTCGCAGTCCCGGCGCCGGATATCACCTCGGCACCGGTCGTACTCGCGGCTAAGATCATCGTCGCGGCACCGTTCTACGTCCCGGCACCGCTATGATTGTCGGTACCGGTCAACATCGAGACGTAGTTCTCGGCACCGTTACGATCGACGCTCAACGTCGAGGGGTCGCTCCCGGCACCGGGCCTACTCGAGGTCGCCGTCCAGGTCCAGGTCCGACTCCCGGCACCGGCGCGGTCATCGGCACCGATCGCGATCTCGGCACAGATCGCCGGCACCGCACAGAGATAGAACATCTCCAGACCGGCACCGTGCGGCACCGTATCCCACGGGGATCATCTCGGCGCAGTCGGCACCGCCATGGCCATCGAGATCGGTGTCTCGCTCCTCTGAAGACGTATCGAGATCGGCATACCCCCCTCAGGGGCAAGCCGAGGAGCAAGATATAGGCCACTGGCAGGAGTTAGCAGAGGACCCTGCTCATGGCCCCTCTCACTGGTCTTTCTGGACCCCGTGGGCGTATCATCAAG